AACACGCGAGCCTCTTTGAGGCAATAATCGACTAGAACTGTAAATGCTCTTAATCTTAATGGGGGAGAGTGTAACGGGGTTTCACGTACCCTGGTACAGGGGTGTGTGTCACACGAGATGGGCACGGTATGACTGCACTCAAACAAGAATACGGTATGTGGCTGGGTAGCCAGTAGTTATTCATGTATTTAGATTTTACAATACATATTTGGGAAAATCTATACATTGAAATTAGGCGGCTTTGCCGCAGATAAAATAGTTTTGGATTTTAAACGAAAGAGTTTATTAGCCTTTGGTTGAGGCAATAATTACGCTTGGAGTAAGCGGATTGCGATCCGCTAATCGTATCTGTTATAAGAATAGGACGAAAGGTCGGTGACCTAAGTTACGCTTCCTCAAAGCGCAAAGCTACGGCAGGCCTGCTGCAATCAATACCAATATATTCGTTACGATTTCTAGCTCAACTGTGGAACGAATTCTCGAAAATCTTAAAATTCATCATTTACCTCGTCTCAACATTTTAAAGCGATGTCTTTGTTTGTCGCGCCAATGTTTCTACACTCAACATCGAGGAGACGCACATATGCGCAGTGCTGGACGCAAGACGGCAACATCTGTCTCAGTTTTTATTATCAAGAGTCGCGTGTTGTCAAAGTCTCTATAGGCGCGTGAGATGCGCTAAGTAAATGAGGCTTATATGCGCTCCATCCATTTGCTCTGCACCTCATAGCAGTGGCGGTATCGGATTGTTTTGTGAAAGATACCTGTATCTTAAATTGATAGAATTCTACTTCTTATAAGTTTGAGTCGGAAGATAGTTTGCTGCACAAAGATTTGACGAAGTCAATCACAAATGCGACCCCTGATGTTAGTCACCATGCATTACTTGTGTTATTGTAACAACTCAATGTCAATAAGCCCTCTAAACTCGCAGATGTTACAAGCAACGACTTTCTCCAAATAGCTACTACGCTTCAGATCATTAGTTCACAAAGTCCGAGATTGCTTTCTCTTTGTATTAAAACTTACTAGTAAATTTCTGCTGATCGTGCATTCAGCTGAGATTAATAAGCCAAGTTTCATGTGAATGATAATGACTCCATAGTCTTACCGAACAAGAGTAATTCAACTGTCCCTTTTGTCACAGCTAAGGAAAGCACATAAGTTTTCTGCAATGAGACTACTCTATCATTGCTTACTCACAGAGTAATTTTCGCGACCATATACGGCTAGACTGCAGTGACATTGGGCTGTCTTCCGGCAGCAAATGCCATACCAACTATCATATTGTGTCCACAAAGTAGACGATCTTTGACGCCGCCAAGCTGATCGTAAACTTGAGCTAAAGCTAGAACCGGTAAACGAAAGCTTTACATTGTTAAGCTTGTATTTACTAAAAATCCTCTTGTGTTCTAAGTCAATTTTCCGCACTATCACCTATCAAACGCTATATTAAATCATGATTTCTAACTTGTGTAAGAAAGTCAAAGTAGGGACAGTTTTGTTACAATAAATTGTATTGTAATTGCTTACGAATTGAATACAATTAAAATTAACAATTTTAGCGTGTGTAATGAAACCTTGTAATATAACATTTAATTGTTTCACACTGAATAGATGTTGTGAAAAGTGCCAAAGATTGCAGAGGTTTTCCTGTTTATTAAGGTTTGCACCTTTCTTTGCTTACCATGATGCATACTAAGCGGAAGATGGCTGCCACGCTTGTTACTTTAGAATCTTGACATTCTTGGTCAGACCAGGCCTAATCGTGCAGTCATGAATAAAATTGCATATTTCAACTCGCACTCGTGCTTGCCATATATGGGCCACTCACTACATGGATTGAGCATGGACATTGATCTGGATGATAATTGGCGTGAAGAATATAAAACTGTTTTTATCTGAGGCATACGAAGTTCGTATCAAAATGTACAAATTTCTTACCTACTACACCAGTAAAACCTTAGCCGAAGCAAGCCTTCTGATGCCTGCTGTCGCATACGGATCGCAAACTTCAGGGTCTAATACAACCCTGCGCGAGCTGTTACAGGAGATTTCGGGTGTGTTCGTCGGGTGGTATAACTGTGTTACTCAAGCATGGCGCAAAACACGTACTGTCACCTCGAAAAAGTATATACATTGATCAAGACAGGAAGTGTGATTAACAAGAAAACTACAAAGCATTGTTTTCTCAGTCGGTCTCCGTACTTCAGAAGTATAGATACAACATATATTTATAAATCGTGCTGTCGTATTGGATGAAGCTTACCTCCTAGAATACAAGAAGTTTGAAGTCGAAATGCTATTTTACAACATACTTGCTGACATGTAGCATTGCGAACCGCAACTTTTCGCTAGACGAGTCAGATTGCCTCATCTGTAGCACATATAGCTCACTTCTTCGTCTATAAAATAAGTGCGTCCATCAGTATTCTCACATCCGAGAAAGCCCTCAAAACAGCTGTAGTTTATCTGTGGCTGACATTCCTTTATCACCCACAGCCAGCCAAGCCACATTCCACTCTTTTGAGTGAAACTCTGGGCATCAGCTGAAGAGAATTTAATCATATTTTTTACACAGTGAGTGCATACAGCACTTGCATATAATTTCTCATATAAAAGCTAGAATTAAAGATGGGCTCAGTTATTAAAAAATATAAAAATTGGGATCATATGCTGCATTATCTACAGACTCGACCAGAATCATGCACTCCTCCCACCAGCTGGGCGTGAAACAGCACTCACAGTTTCAGCGTCTACAGCTACGATGTCAAAGAGTAAAAGCTGCAGCTAACGCAATGGTGATGAATTAAGCTAAAGCACGTGATTTTAAAATTAAATAGTTTCTATGCGCGGCCTGCAAATCGGCCCTAAGCGCTAAATAATTACGAGTTTAGAGTTGTCAGCTACTCACTACCAGAGAATTATTCGTTCCAAAATTCCGATAAGTTTTCGTGAGGAATTTTACGGGAAGCGCGCAGTACAAGCATTTCTTCGCGAACAGGATCCGACACCTCGTCACACTTGCGATCCAAGTCATCCGCAAAAGCAACTGCTACCTCGTCATTGAAACGAACAATACGATGTGGAGTTACAAGTTCGAGATCCATAAGTTTCTCCACTAGCATGTTGCGATCGGCATTCGCTTGCTGGATGACAACTTGTCGACGTTGCTCACTCACGCTCTCTGAAGCTTTCTCAATTTTTTCCAACACACCCATAGCACGCTCCCAGTGATTCTGAAGCATAAGCATCAATGCGTGCTGACGCGAGCTTTGTAAGAAAGTAAGGGCCTTGCGCACCCCGTCGCACCCCGTAACACAGGGCCATTGTCCAGCTGTGGACTTGCTAGCAGGTATTTTTGCCGCAAAATCCTCTTGCAGTGACTCATCTTCTATCCTTAATGGAAACGTAGAGCGCGGCGAAGATTCAATTTGTCGCTTGCAAACTTTGAGAAGAGCTTCGCTTTCAGCCGAGACACCAACAATGCCACTGTCTTCTGCTGAACTATTGGCGCTAGACGGAAGCGGTGGCCGAGTACGCTTAAGCAGACGACGAGATAAATCCTGGACTTGGACCATGCACGATGTCATTATTATCGAGAGCTAAGTAAGCAGTTTGATTCAAGCGCGGCAGAATAATGCGGTAGTTACACAGGCGTCGTGGCAGTGAGGCGTACAACGTCAAATACAAAGTGCAATGGATGGGAGAGGACGAACAACTGCCCGTGTCTTTCGTTTTGGTTCTTGACTCTATTTTTTGGTCGATACACCCAGATCCACTATTTGGTCCGCTGCGGTTGGGGAAGCGTTTGTGGACGTCCAGAAAAGTTGCGACACACTGGAACGGCCGGTGCGAGCAGAGACCGACCCGATTGGTAGGCTGAGCTCCCTCCAGTGGCTTAGTTTTCGAGGAAAGTCACAGAGCATCGGTATGATGGTCAATGCTTCTCGACAGACCTGATTAGATGCATAGTCACGCAATGCTAGTGAAAATCGTTTTCACTATATTGAAACATAGTAAACGATACCCATTTGATGGCATACAACAGCTGCGGCTTGGAGCTGATTTTCTACATTTGCATCAGCTCCCTTCAAACTTTGCCGTACCCAAAGTGTGACACAGGCTCGATTTTATCGGGGGCAAGACCGGAAGCACCACATCCAGGGCTTCGTGGACTGGCATGTCATATAAACATGTGGCTTACATAGAATTTGAAGTACTACCTAATGCACACCTATTCGTGCGACCAACCCAACGTATGGACCCCTCGGCTTGAAAATTTTTATTGTCTTCAGTCCGGGAAACTTACGTCCCTGAAGTTGGGCGAAGCACGTAACAGATCAATGGACTATGTATAAAAATCGTAACTTTGTTACATCACGCTAGTGGTTACTTTGCCCAATCAAGTAATTAGAAGTTAAAAGACGACTTTAGAGGATGCAAACTCACTTTAATGTAGAAAGGAAACATTAGTGAGATAGGCAAATTTTCTTGACAAGATTGAAAAGTAATGAAAACCATAATCATTACACTGAAGTCGTGTCCCCTTACACTTCACCCTGAATACTGATTGTGCTAAAAGCTGACAATTAGCGGAGTGGAGAATGTGGGACCACTAAAGTTCTCGCAAGATTCAACAGGAAGTCCTACACTACGAAAAGTCACAGTATTGACCGACTGCAATAGCTCAGCCATGAAGATATGAGATACATTCGAAAGCCAAATTGCAAATTGCAAAAAAATTACAAAGCAGCAAAAAGTCCAGCATCGCCAACACCAAGCTAAAGGTGCTCGCAATGTGTGAAACTTTATTCAATCCACAAGGAAAGGGAAAAATCTACCGCACAACTATATCCTCCCTTTTCTCTTTATCCGCCTCTGAAGGTATGGTGTCCTCCTCGACCGACCACTCAAGCTTATGTACAAGATTTTTGTATAGGACTAGCCTGAGTTGGTTCGTAATCTGTTCTACATCTCAACAATGTTGTTCGTGCGACTTTAAGGCAAAGAACGATATCAGTTGGATTTTGCACGCATACGGCCAAAACGTTGTGACATAGCCATGGCTGGAACAGAGCAACGGCGTTTTTTCTCCCCTTATTTACTAGCGAGAGCAAATGTAAATTTTTCTGAACGTCAACCGATGAGACAACGACACCACCGCAAAGAAGTGTCTAGTGCAAAGGAGGCTTTCTTCACAGGTCCAAGCACAGCAAATAAAAGCAAAGGGATCATATGCAAAAGGAAGTTTCCGCACAATGTCTTATTATTAGTTAAAAGTCGCTTAAAATACGAGTGATAATCTCCCCCCTCGGTACCTCGAGACTGTTTATTCTGTCTAATCGTTGGAGTACGTTTTACGTCATGATTGGTAAGGATGACTTAGTGGAGGAATTAAAGGACGCAATCAAGAGGAAGATTGAAGATATTACGATCTGCAGCTCTTCTTGGAGAAGAAGAAGGATGGTGCATGTCTGACGGGTGACGATGCTCTTGACAGCTAAGAATAGATGACACTTTGTCTTTGAGTTGAGGCAATCGTGGAAGCTGAACAAGCCAAATCTCCTTAGTTTTAATGTTTGTCTAGGAGAAAACGTGTTTCACGTGCCGGTGGTGGTGTCTCGGGATTGCTGGAAGCCGAAACTGTGGAAATACCGCATCCACGATGGATGTTGTTGAATGATGTTCTTGATAAGAACAAGAAAGCGATGAATCCACGGACTTCGCTTACGTGTCGTTCTCAGAAATTGATTTCGTCATGCCGGCAACCAAAGAACTAACCGACATGAAGTCCATCCGTAATGAAAAGCTGGGTGCGTTGCGTAATGACTTCCAATACCTGATCAAGGCTTTTGGTGATATTATCACTGGTAAAGAAGCAAAACGACTGCACTTTATCTTACCTGTGCTCGCAAGTGTCTGTGCTCTATTCGATGAAGATGTCCTAATTCTGCCGAAGAAACGGTTGTTGGGAAATGTGTTCATGGAGATGAAGCCCTTGAGTTCGTGCTTAAGAGACGAGAGAAACGTATTTGTATTGTGTAGGCTAAACGAGATGACATTTAGCAGGGGTTTTGCTCAGACGAAGATGTAGAAGGTCTACCGATAGTATTCAGCATTGTCACGAACTTCTTGTTCTCGCGAAATTGGATGACGAAACTGAGCGAGCGACATCGATGGAGATTGACGTTCCAGCAACCAAATCCGTGGATCATATCGCAGGAAAATTCTACTCCATCTTTGTGGATGACGTATACATGTCTGGCAGTACATACTTGTTAGGCCCCTACACTATTTTAAATAATATATTTATTTGTCAATTCCTGATCAGAATAAAGTCTATAATACAAAGGCGATGACTAATTCACCCGAGCAAAACCAACTAAGTAAGGAGCGCTTTAAAGCTGCGCATAAGAGGGTATGTGCGAAGCGTGATTGTTCTCTACGAAGATAATAGTAGAGATCACATTCTTGCAAGCCGAAATTAAGCACGAAATTTGATAGCAAAATCAAGCAGCGAATTTTATGTTTTCTTTCAATAAAAATAGATGGTTTAGTACGTAGTCACAGTGCCTTTCAGCCGCGAATTTTTTGCCATTTAATTTATGGGACATCGATGGCATATACATGCTCTACTGACTTCCCTTTGCATTGATGAGGTACTTCGTATTTTCAAATTCAGCAACAAAAACTTTAGCAATTACCATCAGGAACGGAGCTCTTCTCAAAGACATCTTCAATTGTACTTATCGGAAGAAAATTTCTTCCGATAAGTACAATTGAAGATGTTTATGAACTTGGTATCTATATGACCTATATGACTATCTAGATACCTAATCACAAATTGTATCAAATAATTTTGGTTATTAGCTTAAAGTCAAGTACGTCCTTGATCATAGAATAGCCCCTTATTCACTAATTACCAGACATAATAGATTTACACTCTGGTAACCAGCATTGACAACCTGAATCTCGGAACAATTTTTTCCGTTAGGCGACTGACGTCAGCAATCAGCATCGGTTAGCCAGAGGCCACGTCTGATAATCAAGCAGTCCAATTACTCAATAGTAATATCACCATTTAATTTGCTTATTTCATTAGAGAGTTGACGGAAGTCATAGTCGTGGCTGACGGCACAAGCTGTCAAATTTATGATTTGTCTGATAATATTTGAATTTTGAATTGATTTTGGATGAGGACAGACATGTGCAGAAAGCTTCGCGGCCACCAACATACCAAACATTACATCATTAACAAAAAGCTTAATGTGATTATATTTTTGGCGGTATCTATATAGGTCAGTGCTCGGCCAAATTTCAATGGAAGGTCTAATACTGAAAAGGTGCTTTACATTTGGAGTAGATTCCTACGACTTCCAATATTTCCCGATTACAAGAAATGATTGTGTTCATGCTTAAGACGACTGTGTTTCGAGGTCGCCAGGAATCACTGCTGTGAAGACGAAAATGCAATGTCAAATTCATTGGCTTACTAGCTTAGCATGTTGTTTATAATCTAATATTGTTTGCACTCGGCACATCTACGTCAACAATTTTTATTTAAAATGAAAAATTCTATAATCTTGTGTATTCAACGCTTACACATTTGGTACAATTCACATTACACTTGATTTAATTGTGATAATTCACAAACACAGAAATATTGGTATGTGTGGAGATGACGGAACTAATCAAACAGGGGCTAGCCGCACGACAGAAAGCATAGATAGTTATATTATAAGAATTAGTAACGTATATGCTCGGATAAGCTCAGTTAGCTTAGGATTTATTTCCCGAGAATACCGATGGCCACAATGTGGTGCTCGTCTTTGTTGACAGAGTCAGCAAGATGGTTCGCATCGCTCCGTGTAGCGATTCCATCGATGCCAAAAAATCGGCTTGATTGTTATTGATTACGTTTTCCGCAATCACGGGTTGCTAGACGCCATCGTCTTTTATCGTGATACACGATTCACGAGTGGCTTTTAAAAAATTGTTCCGAATTCCTGACACTTGCTTGGATATGTCCACTGCGGTTCACCCGATGGACAGACAAAATGTGCCAACCGAGTGGTCGGTGATGTGTTAAAGAAGATTCTGCGCAAAAAATTCGCAGGATGGTGTTCGTTGTTAACATTGCATGAGTTTGATATGAACATTTCAGCTCATTTATCCACTGGAATTACGCCATTTTTTATGAATGGCTTGCTACACCCGTATGTACCGCTTTATGGGATGGGTGGTGCCTCTGCTGTAAGTGGCGGAGGAGCTCGGCAAATCGTTGCCTCTCAAATCGATACAATCAATGATGCGAATGAGGAGCGCATGTTCAAGAATGCCCTGGACTCGTTCATCATGAGTTGTGCGAATGTAATAACACGGGTGTGCGACGCAATGGCGAATGTGCATGATCTGGAAAAGAAATTTGCAGATAGACGAGGTCGTCAACGCATAATGTCGTTTATTGTGGGATTATGTACTAAGAACTACTAAGTAGTACTAATAAGCTATCAGACAATGCGGTCTCAAGCTTAGAAAGCTCGAAGCTATACCTCGCTTCATCGGTCCATTCCTAGTAGTTTCATGGCATGAGATAGCTTGAATTATCGATCTGCCAAGCTGGCTAAGGACACATCAAACATTCTACGTAAGGCTCCTCGAGCCCTACCATAGTAACGACGCAATTTCTGTCCTGAATATAACGCAGAAGCAATCGAAGTTGGCTTAAGATCCACAGCTTTGGCACAAAGCTCGATCCCCTAGCGTCATAGCCTCAGCATCGTTCTCAAATTGACGAGAATGGTCGAAAACGCCCGAAACAGAGCGAGATCGCTTGGCAGGAGACCCCGCATCATCAGCGGAAGCAGCCACAATAGGGGGGGGGCTTGCATAGCTTACTTCAATTGATGGATTCAATTTTCAATCGCGTCTCTGGGCGAATTTTAGCGACGCCATGCGAAATCGTAAGCTTCGCGAACGACCTCTCGAACATCCTTCACGCGCTATCGCGTCGACGACACTCCATCCGTCACTTCGATCAGCCGCTAGTTTATCAGTGACACGAGCTTTTCCGCCTTCGTCAAACTCAATCGTAACGCAGACAAAGACTGTGGACCAACCGCAGAAGAATCAAAGGGGACGCCCGCTCCGCCCCCTCTTCCAGATCGACAGGAAAATCGATAACACCACGTCGAGAACGTGGTGGCGGAGAGAAACAACCGCGGTCGAAAGGAGCTCTTGGCGAAATGGCTGGAACATCCAGCAAACGAGAATATGTGAGAGCCTCGTACTCCTATTCTTCGCGACTGTCCCTGTATCTTTTGCGCGTTCGATGCGAGTCCGAAGACGGACTCTGTTTAAGGCAGCTGTCTCATCCTCATCTTTCTCGGTTCCTTTCGCCGCGAATCCGACTGATGACCGAACGTACTACACGGGCATTCTTGATGTCGGAGTGTGTCCGATTTTGCGCTTTCAAATGCACAAATTGAAAGCGGATATCGCGTACCTTCAACGAAGCTGCAGCGGTACTCGCGCTTTGCAAGCGGTGGGTGTCCTTGTGCCCAGAATCGATTGTCGATTGTCTGGATGAAATTCAGGCTGGATTGTTGGACGTATAGTACAGAAGTGAGGCTTCGCGGTTCACCTTCAGCACGATAAATCGGTCCGATGGCGCGAAAATACGCGATTTGGGTCAAAAGCGTTCGTCGAACTCGAGGTTGAAACTACCACGTTATTTCTAAAAGACATCATGACGATCAAGATACGATAGCGCAAATGCGCCGGATGACACGGAATTGGGACATTATTCTAGTTCGATAGTGACGAAGATCTTAAATAGATCAAGGATATGGATTGCCTTCGTTATGAAGAGCTGGACAGAGCGTGACGTAGAGCGTGAACAAGAATTGAAGAAGAATTGAAGATTTAAAGAATTTGGGTAAATCTACTTTTGAGTGGGGGGGGGGTGAAATGGGCCAGGTCCCATTACACATCTTTGTGTAGCTCATAATTTGGTGTGAATTACACTAATTATTCATCCTGTATAGTTGTATATTCCCTTTTTCATTTCTGTTGTATCAGCATTCGAGGCATTTATCAGGTTAGGAGGGGGTAACAGCCTATTGACTATAATTAATAAATGCCACGTCATTTTTTCTCCTCTTTACGTAGGTCAACGACCCGCTGGAAGCGAGCTATAAGCAATGAGGTATATCAATTGACCTCAGCTCTTCTCAGTTAGTGTGTGCACGGACAGGCAATTCTCACTACAGTCCTATATTCGTGCGTCTTGCCACGGAAACATTGACTTTAATGTCTAAGATGGTGTCTATCCTTCATAAAGATGAGTTTGAGACAGCTTGGAACGTTGTTGAGTCCTGGTTCTGCATGAAAGAAACGCGCTAATACTAGAAATGGCCAGACCAGATTGCCAGAAGTCACGGATCGATAGGAAATTGAATCAATAGGCGTTATGCATTTCTATTCTATCAGCGGATAGGCAAGTCATGAGCCCACCTCTTACCGGATACAAATACGCTTGTGATGTACGCACGAGGCTGTAATAGTAGCATGTGATGGCGCAAATTTATCAGCGTTGATATTTCTGGTGCCTTGAACAATGCTCGGAGTACAGAAGAAGATGTGAGCCAAGGTCTCAATTTGACGGTAGAGAACGCCTGTACATCGAAGTCTCCAGAGTGTTTTTGTGTTGTGACGTAAAGGGATGGCTGTACGTCGTGGTCTATATTGTGTATCTCTGGTCGGATGGTAAGGAACAGAAATGGGATTTTGTCTCTTGTATAAGGAACGGTGGGAAATTAACTGTGTATCGCGATCTCACATGCTAGAGGCGGTGAAGATGAAGATCTACTATAAGCGGCCTAGCTCATGGGGTTGTAGGCCCCTTTCAGTACCTACGGTTGAGAAAAAAAACACTTTTCGGTGCTAAGTGCTAGAAGCTATAAATTATGAGGTCGCTGAAATAGCACGATTGTACTGGAGAGGATGCTGCCCTCGTCAATCTCATTGTGACTATCTCATTGATGACGCCCGCAGAGCACTGAGGACAAAGGATGGGACAGATATCTTGAAAGACTCTACGAATCCTTCAAACCCTGGAAAATTATGACAGGGCACTTTATGTGTCACCCCTAGATAGGGAAGTGCGTCGTAAAATTGCATTGGTTCCCAGTGCCGATAATTCATCAATAGCGATAACCCTTACCAAGGGCTCAGTCTACGTCGTTGATGTTTTATTTCCTCCTTCTACACCCTCGGTATCGACTTTCTGTATCGAAAATGCTAACAGCGAGTGACGATTTGCGCATGCATATAATAAGCAAAACCAGCTACAACCACCGACTCATGATAATGATGTCTTAAATAATGGCATGGTCCTCTGCACTGTGTTTAGTGCCCTTGCTTGGGTTATCAGGTACGGCAATATCCCTATCACTGCGATGAGTAGTCAGAGCGGACTATACTAGGATTCGCAGATCATGCCACAAGGATCCATCAGCGACAATCAATTAACTGGTGACACAGCGATTCTATCTAATGCGTGGCTATGTACAAACCAATCCCAACAATATAGTTGGCAGTGCTTGAGTGTAGTATGCACAAAAAATGAATGATTGCATTTTATGAATTAATTGTGCAGCGATGTGCAAACAAACACAATGTGTTTTTAACGCCGACAACATCTCGTGTCTGGGTTACTTCATTTAAATGCAAGCTCTGTGGGTAGATCTTGCAGCTGTAGAGCTGTAGTTTGGGCAGTGCTTCCGTTCTAAAAGGAGTTGAGAAAATTCTTTGCTCGAGAACAGTGCGAACTATGTTGACATGGCACGACGGCTCATAATTCGCCTAAAAAATGATATTAAGTTGTTGGAGTAGGCGGCTTTGGGCTTGTCAAAGAAAGCCTAATACAAACTTCGATTTTGACTCTCCAGCATCTAGATCGGAGACTCCGCATCATTTGGTACCGAACCACTTTTGCAATAGGCTGCGCTTCATTAAACAGATGCTGATGCGCATGAGCAAGTGATAACATTTGAGACTTGCCAGCTGCTTGAAAGAGTTTCCTTGTTCTTGACAACAATCTTTTTGCAATAAAGTATGTTTTTGTTAATCCCCAGGGTGCACCCGATTAGCTCAACTCGTCTGTGATCTATACTAATCATTCGACGGCGACGTCATCGAATTTTCACATAGAATTGCAAGATGCTCTTCGTCCTTGCCGATTATGCTGTTGAGGTAAAATGTAAAACGGATCGGTTAAATCTGGAGAAGGATGCGCTTTCGCGGCGCTCCAACTAAATTTTTTTACTTTATGCTGAACTCACCGATCGATGAAACTATATGTACGATGCACCGGTCAGACGCAACATGCATTGCGTTGCCGAACGCAACGCGAGTTTAAGAAATCCGATATCACATTATCAAAGCCAAACGCCTGCA